TTGAGTATAAATTAAAATGTTAAAATCAAATCTGATATTGTTTTACCTTTTATTTGGTGTGTGGAAGGTGTGCGGAAGAGGGGGTAGTCTTATACGGCGAGTATATAACAAACTCTGTATTTTGAGTGGAAATGTTAGGGGTCGTCTTATACGCCCAGTCGTCTTATACGCCGGCAAATACGGTAATACCTAAATGAGGGATTCTAGACTGCATCCTGTAACACAAGGGGTCAATAGTCAGAACCTGATGAATTCTGATTAAAGTAATCAGCTTCATTAACCATATCGCACCACTGTAAATTTCTTAATTTTGATGGTTGTAGTATGATTATGCAGGATATTAACTTACAGCAAACTGGGTAAAGAAGATAAGGGAACTCTGTATAGTTCTGCAACCTTCTGTAAGTCTCTAATTACTCAAAATTTAAATGTTTCAAACTGAAGAAGTTTGAGTTGTTACTGTTTTTTTTTTCTGATTTATATCTTAAACACAGGGTGGGACAAAAGTAGGTTTATATTTATATGTAAAATAATGTAATAATTAATAATAATACAAGAATAAACTGTTTCCCCAACTTAAGTTTAGAAATTACCAGTTTAGTAATGACTGAATCTGTTCAAAATGTTAATAAAAGTTTTGTTGCATGGTAAAAAAAAAAAAAAAAAAGAAGAAGAAGAAGAAAGGATTTCTCATACAACTGTAAATCTACTTTTGCCTCACCCTGAATTTAGGATTAACTCAGCAATCAAGGACATTAAATTCTGACCATTCTTATTCTGACTGGGATACATTCTTTCATTAATTTAATAAAATTTAATGAGCAAGTAGTATGTATCAGGCACTAAGGTCACAGCAGTGAATACAGCATTTAAGTCTCGTGCACTGTGTACTATGGCAAAATAAATAGCAAACAAAATGTTTTCTTTTAATTCTACTTGGAAACATGTTTTCGTGGTATCATAATGCTAGCATCAAAATTAACCAGCATATGAACAAACGCATTCTACAAATGGAAGATACTATAATTTTCCTATAAGCAACAGTATGTACATGACACTTTACAATGGTTAAAATAGTAAATATTTATGTATCATTTGGTACATGCTATGTATATTTCATCACGGCATTGTTTTACAGAATCAGTTTTTAAAAGCAATAGTAGGACCCCATTTCATAATGCATGCTTATGAGTTTGCATAACAATGCGTAAAATTTTCAATATCAGGAAGCCTCCCGACGAAAACATCGCCAGATTGCAGTTCCTTTTACTTTTCGGCCACTCACCCGCGTCCCCAGCCGTCGGCAATGAGCAGCTTTGTTCGCACGA